CGATATCAATATCGACCATTATAGCGATAACTATAATGATAACTATAAAATATAACGATGACTATAGCGATTACTATAATGATAATTATAACTACAACGATGATTATAGCGATAACTATAACCCGAGCTACAGTGATAACGATAACTATAATGATGACTATAGCGATAACTATAACGACCATTATAGCGATAAATAATAACGATAATTATAACTATAACGATGACTATAGCGATAACTATAACGATAATTATAACTACGATGACTATAGAGATAACTATAACCCGAGCTACAGTGATAACTATAATGATGACTATAGCGATAACTATAACGGCCATTATAACGATAACTATAACAATAAATATAGTGTTAACTAAAATGATAATTATAACTACAACGATGACTATAGAGATAACTATAACCAGAGCTACAGTGATAACTATAATGATGACTATAGTGATAACTATAACGATAATTATAACTATAATGATGACTATAACGATAACTATAACAATATCTATAGTGATGACTATCACGATAATTATAACTACAACGATGACTATAATGATAACTATATCCTGTGCTACAGTGATAACTATAATGATGACTATAGCGATAACTATAACGACCATTATAACGATAATTCTAACTATAACAATGAATATAGCGATAACTGTAACGATAATTATAACTACAACGATGACTATAGCGATAACTATAACGGTTTAGAAATGGCAAAACTAACTTAAACTATAACAATAATTACAGTGATAACTATAACAAAACTATGACAATTATAACGATACATTAGCGTCCACACAAGCGGATCATAATGTTGTGTTTACTATAAGCTCGCAGCAGCTTTGATAAAGAAGCATGAAATATTTTGATTGGCTTGCAATGTTTTTGTCGTACATCAGCTGGAAAAGATCGCTCTGAATGGGACTGCAACAATATCGTTCCTCTGTGACGTTATTGCCGTGGACTTCATTGCCGTTATCGCTACAGTTATCGTTCTTGCTGTGAAGGGGCCTTAAATTCATTCAAGTGCAGTTAAGCGGCTGACAGGGTGATCAGGAGCTCATTACTGTATGATAACGAGCAGCTGTTCTCACTTGCAGATGGCCAGCAGACACTCCTCAATGGCGTCGCGCTGGGCTTTGGTGAGCGAACAGCCCTTGGACAGGCGGTAGACGGTGTAGAGCGTGGAGTCGATGAGCGCGGCGTGATGCTCTGTGCCGGAGAAGTGAGGAGCGCAGCGGGTCAGCAGAGGCAGCACCGCCGAACCGATGTACCTGTTCATAGCCAGAGCCGTTTCTGTGGTGCGCAAAGCCTCCTGGGAACAAACACAACACCTCAGAGATGATTCATATGAATAAAAAGGACTCAAACGGTAAATGACTCATCTGAAACGCTGCAGGAGGTTTTCGTTATCACATCTGAAGTGTCGCTGTGTTTTGAGTTTTGAGTGATTTTTAGTCA